CTTGGGGAGGGGGGGGTACGGTAGGGTGTTTGGGAAGGCGAAGGTTAGGCGGTTAGCAGCTTATCGTTAGTTCCGTATCGTACCACCGAGTTTTGGTGAACTACAGGAACTGGCAGGGAACTTCCAGATCACGAGCTTAACATCCACTGCGCAGGCCTTGATGACTTTCATACTGAATATCGCTGGAATGACCATTTTTAATTATTTTAACAGGTTTTGGACGATTCTCGGATGCTACGATCGCAGTATTTTCGTGTACTCAAGCACAAATGGCAAAGTACATTTTCGTAATCAGCTCGATTCGGCTCCAGTTCGTATGGGAATCAATGGCCACAAGATGTTTGTGCTCACGCAAACAGGACATTTGAGCACGTGGTCAGTTCTTACACCATTTCCAAGCCAGCGCATAAGTGTAGATTGGGCCCAGATCAGGCTGGTCGGGTTCAAATTGAGAATTTTTGCGGCGGTGATGGCTCGTTCGTATGGGCTCCTCCACTTGGTATATTCATACGGATAAGCAGCTAGCGGTCACTACGCGGTATCGCGCACAATACTGCCACCTGCGCAGCGACTGATTCGACCAGCACCACCCCCTCCTTCAGCGTTCCGACCTCTTCTAAACACGTGCTATCTGGATGTTCTTGAATTTTGGCCGGTTCCTTCTCTGGGTAAAATCACAGGCAGAGTTTACGCAGTGGTGTCGGAATGAAGTAAAACCATGAGAAACGGACTTAGAACCCGGAAAATAGGACTCCTTCTTTGCTCGATGATTCCCCCATTGATGAAACTCCCATCGGTGCTGCCCATTTCAACTCTAACGCTTTCTCTACTAATGGCTGTAGAACTGGTCTGCCAGTCTGTGGGCGCGATAGTGGCGCGGGACGATCACGCTAGTCGTCAGGGGCAAATCCTTCGCTAAGAGTTGCGTGTCGAAGCGTAACCTTAGGCGGCCCTCCTGTTTTTCCACTAGTAAGTTCTTCCCTCCTTCGACCCTTATCGTGGAATTCTCCTTTAATCAACTGCTCTGTACGTCCCATTCCCAAAAATGCGCGACGTCACAAGGTGTCCTCTTACAGCACACTCGTTCGATAGAAAAGACTCACATTTTGAGACTTATTTGTACATTTAGGGATATCGACAAGATCAAAGCAATATTGTCTCGTCAGTCGATTACTGATTGCGTTGTGAAAGGTTAGCCTGGCATTTTGTTATATATCAAAGATTTCATGGTTGTTGTGTATAATTCGTCGAAGGATGTAAGTCAAATCAACTCAGTTTTTTTTCCTGAAAATTTCTTACATTCTAAAAAAAGCATTACGATACGTTAGTGTGATGGAGAAAAAAGGTCTTTCAACTCGAATACGGCATTATATAGTAGACTCTGTAGGTTTCTTTTTCTCTGCCCCCTCATGCCCTCTCTACTCTTCCGAGGACAATGGTAGCGCTTTTTATCGGCTTTGTGGGTGCGTGGCGCTTCCCACTACCTCAAACAACTAATGGAGCGTTCATAGTTGGCGATTAGGCGATTAGGCGATTAGTCTAAATGAAAAATATACGTATAGATTTAGGCGAGTAGGCGAGTAGGCGATTAGGCGATTAGGCGATTAGGCGATTTGCACACGGCGCACTCCTTAGTCGTCAAAATTGAGGCGCACATGCATATTAGCTTCTCACCCATACACTAGACTACTAGTTGGTAAAAGCAGATCTTGTCAAAGTGTTGCATACAATCCAGATATCACCTAATCGCCTACTCGCCTAATCGCCTACTCGCCTGATCGCCTACTCGCGTACTCGCCTAATCGATACGTATCCTTTACTCATCGCCTGATCGCCTACTCGCCTAATCGCCTAATCGCCTACTCGCCTACTCGCCTAATCGCCTAATCGATACGTATACTTTTCATTTTGAATCATCGCCTATCGCCTAATCGCCTAATCGCACGTACGATCGCCAACTATGAACGCTCCATAAGCACTTTGATAATCAGAGCTAAATTGGAGCAATTGAACAAAAAGTCACGTGTCTTTTAGATGCAAATCTGATGTCGATATCTGTGACCTCAAGTGGAATACCGTTATTAGGATTCTCAACTGGAAACATTTTTACGTTTTCACTGGATATGAAGAGTTCTGGCTCTCATCGTCATATTGTAATGCGGTTCATTGTAGGCAAATAGTGGACTCAATGTCACCGTTGATGAAGCTCTGCGATTCCATAGATGCTGACGAACTACCTGATGGACCAATAGGGAAGCTGTTGAAGCGGCGGAAAAGGTAAGGTTAGCGAACAATCAGATGGACTCGAAGATATTTCCCGTTAGGTGGTTGGACATGTCTGTAAAAAAGGTTGAAAGAAAGTTCATTTTGTCTTTTGGACCACTTCCGCTCCAGATTATGCGTATTTATACTAATTTGAACATATCTCATTTCCGCACCAGATTCTGCGTATCCATTCTAATTGATCATATCCAATCTATATCTAATATCAATATCTAAAGTAATCATTGGTGTTGCCCTGAGCACCTTTTCAGCTAAGTAATTCTGATTTTTCCAGGCCTGGGCTTCTACCGTCAATACCGCGAGGAGTTTCGTCGTCAGTAAAAGAGTCATTGCTGGAAGGATGGCTTCTAGCGGCCAAGACAACCGGTAGCTCCACGGATTTCCGTGGTTTGCTAATGAGTTACGTACAGCAGCTCGTCAGAAACAGTGAGTATAAAAATTTCAACCTTTTTTTAAAAGCCTTCCGTTTAGTAGCTACCCTACCTCCAAAATTAGCGAAGCTGGGGCGTTACGGCTTTTAAATGTCTCTTCTGAAATCAAAAGAATCCATTCCCAATTTTCGAATAAAAAACCGTCAGAGGGAGAGGTAGACCTTAGCGGAGATTAGGCCGAGAGAGAGGGAGAGAGAAACACTTCTGGTCACTGGGTAATCCTTACTCATGGAAAGGCCATTCCCTTCTCGGCTCGAAATTCTCGAGAGTGATTGGATGAGCTGCTCTGTGTTGATGAATCGCCAGAAGCCGCAACGTATTTGATTTTGATTCAGAATCCTCGATGCGTATTGGGATGGTTTGAGGCCTAACCGATTCCGAGGGATTGAGAGATTAGGTTGATCTTGCCAGAAATTGAGCTTTTGTTCATGTCAGTGGGAAATAGTGCTTCTAGTGGTTGCCGCACTTTGACTCCTTATTTTTAGTGTGGTTTTATTTGTTTTTGCACTCGCGCCAGATACATACAAAAGATCCACTCCAGTCTAGGGTGTCTTGTGTTAGGGAACTTTGTGCTAAAACGCTCCTACTCTTCCATGATGAATGGGACCCAATATCAAAATCTCGAATACATACTATCCCCTCCCACCAAGGAAAATACGACCACCTCCCCCCCCCCCCTCCGCGGCTCACCCTACTCCAGCTCCCCACATTCTGTACTGTTTCCTTGCTATCTTACAGGATCACTCTCCAAGCTGACCGACGTTCTTCATGACCTAAGTGAACCGGGAAGCATTTGTGGTGTGCAACGCGGTGCTCTGCGGGCAGATTTGGAGCGTATCATAGCCTCAGATCCAATAACGGCATCACTTTTATCGTCAAAGGATCTTACTAGTTTGGTGTTCTAGATGATCAGCTAGACTCTATGGCTAAATTTTTCTTCCAAAATATTCCCTCTTGATCTCGATCGATTCTTCAACCTCGCCATTACAATTGTGCGATTATCTTCCCAGGTGTTTAAGGTCTCAGCTCATTGTTCTCATTACAATCACCAACTTCTCCCGATCGATTTGCTCTTCTCAATACGGGCTCCTCTGTTTTGTACTGTGTTTTTGTTATTATGTGATATATCAATAAAGTTTCTTTAAATTAGCTATCATAATATCTTTAAGGTTGGTCAACATAAGGACGTCCTGCACGTTTCTCCTTTCACCAGTTGCAATATTTTCGAATAAACTACTATTTAACCATTTTGGAAGAAACTAGAACGAGTAATCTGCACTATCCCCCCCGCTTCGCGCCGCACTTTTCACTTTGCGCCTTCACTGCCCCTTCACGTCGAAACACAGAAGCCTTTTTTATGAATTATCCGGACCTGTTATCTGGCTAGAAATTGGTCCGCTACCGAACCTCGACCGTCTAAAACAACTATCACATTGATTAGCGTGTTTTCGCACGCCACAGCTTGGGCCGTGCAAAAGTGCCACACATCCCTGGATAACCAAATTTGCTGAAGTCTGTCGTCGACCATGAGACCCTAGCATAATACCACTCTTATTCTTGCGGTGTCCGGGATCCTGCCTACGCATCCGTCGCGACTGATGCATAGTGCCATGTATTGCGGCGGGGTCCAGACTTCGCACGCTCATTGATGAGACCTCGTTTCTACCAGATTGAATTCCTCTCACGGCCGATTTTTCGATCCCATTTCTAGTCCTGGCACAAATCTCTATAAAGTCTGGCCTCGCTTCGCCGAGCAGGGGTAGAAAGGTAACAGGGCCGGATCGAACTCTATGGCTTCTTCATTCTTAACACCATTGTTGAAAAATCAATCAAATATTCCAACAGTTCTGATCAATGCGCATAAGCGTATGATATCCTGTGTTTGCCCAAAGCAAACAATAGACCCGTAGTGGTCAGCACGGAATGCGTGCGGCCGCGTCACGACGTCGTCGATGTCGTTTACACTTGACATCCAACTCAGAACGAATCGGATCGGGAATACCAACTTTTGACTACGTAATGCTGCTGAGTCAATTATGTTACGGGTCTTAAAAAATAAAGGATAAGGAAATAAATTTCAAATTTTGGCTGCGGGTGCCAGAACTCCCTCCATCCTATTACTATCAACGATTTGGGAAGAACTTCTAAGACAGTTCCAAACAGTACCTCCCCTGAATTTATTGGGTTGTTGCATTGTAAATGTCGCTTTTTGACTCTAACCAAATATTGCTGAATAGAACATTCGCATCTCAGAGGAGAGATGGATTACTACTCTATTGTCCAGGCTTCGCCATCTCACGCCAAAGAACCGACTCCTTCTAGAATAATCGAATCAACTTTGTTCGCACTGGAACATGGACACCATTTCCGAATTTTTTGTTTCTTCGGAACTGCCTTCTTCAAACCAACGTACCGTCGCTGACACCGCGACACCAGCAGCACATAGATGGAGTGTGACAAGAGCTGTTTGGCAGAGATGTCAAATGTTTCCAGCCTGGTCTCGCACTTTTTGCTGACGATTTTTGCTGCCCCAGAGAATACCGCACGTTTCCCGCTAACTTGGCCGTAAATGGCCAGCGGAAACGGGTCCCTAACTAGGACTGGAACCTTGCCTTGGCGCTCCGGGATGGAGGAGCTTTAGGGTGGATAACGCAGTGCGGAAAATTGGATAGGATTTGGGCAGGATTTGTGGAATGTAGGGCATCCACCGGTCCGCATCAAAAGTGCACAGCCGTTCGCATATTATCTTATCCTTAGTGTTAGAAAGCTCAAAGGAGTATTTTCTAGGACAAGGGATAAGATAGCAAGGAGTGCCCAAACTGGTTTTTCACCCCTTAATCCTGCGCGTTCCGTCGAGAGAGCTGTGAATATCAGAACAACCACGCTTAAAGGCTATCGCAATGTTACAGTACTAGTTCGGGGAAATTGAAAATTGCTCCTGCACCCAGAGCCGGCTTCAATGCTCTTAGGTTAGAAGTGCCCCTTAAAATCCTCTCTGTCATCTTCATTGGGATTGTCCTGATAAAGGGCTTACATTTAATGTAACCTCGCCTTCAAATGACCAGAAATTGTGCAATTGCAGAAATTGACGTGGCATAAAGCCACGTGGCACACGTGGCTAAATCTTCTCGATGAAAAGGTGACATCACGTGTGCTCAAAGATGTTCTTGAATCGATGCCACGTTAATGCCACGTCAATTTCTGCATTTGCACAATTTCTGGTCATTTGAAGGCGAGGGTATTATGAGCCAAAGTAAGCATGCACTAATGAAGAAACTCATTCGTTAGAAACAAGAAATCGTACTACCAACCCCCTGAAGGGGGATGAACCCCTCCAACTTTTTCTCTACTCCCATGCCAAACTATCCTGTTTTCACAATAAGAAAATTTTCGCGATTTCTAAGGCGCTGCCACCACAATGCCCCCGCATATTGCGATAGCGCCCGGCCCAACTCTTTCACGACCGCTGCTTTGTCCACAAAAAAAGCGGTGGTTTCAAGAGGATTCCGATTTTCACATAATCTCACTTCGACCGCTTGTCACCTTGTTTGCTCGCCGTCTATTCAGCAGTGAAATCCCATTACAGGCATTGTGCTGTCGCCGTCGATTCGTCATCTCGGTGGTTAAGTGTGCAGTAACGGATTAGTCACCGACGACGTTCCACATCGCGTTCCGCGGCAGTTTTCTCAAACGCAATGTTGTACTTATATCAGCGGTATGTGAGTTTTTCGGTCGTCATGACACTCCTGTCCCTACTGGCGCGGCGATCCTTCTGTCGGCCGGCGCCAGCCCGCTCGTGATCTCGTCGATGCGCTTCGTTTGTTGCGCGCCTAAATGCACGTTGTAATACTGACCACATCTGTTCCACAACACCTGCCATTGTGAACCTCGACGTCCTTCCCTTCCTCGTAGATCGTCTTTGAAAGGGCTTTTTCCTAATCATTTTCATTGCTCACACTTCGCAGCGAAAAACTTCCTCAAGGGCCACAACACGCGAATTTTTTTTCTCGTTCGTTTAACCTTTTCAAACATTCCCGCCGTTTTCGTGCCAATATCACTACGCATGGTCACGCCGCTATTTCTTTGAACGGTAGTCCCTCGAAGTATTACCTCTCCCTCGCAAAAATCAGAAAGTGTCGGGTGCAGACCATGCACCACAAGTGACGACGGCCTTCATGAAATGTTAACGTTTTCTGGCAATGAAATGATCAGCCTGCTGCAGTTATAATTTTGTCACTAATTACAACTATCATTTGCTAGAAATCAACTATCATTATGTAACTAAATAACTTTTAACCAAGCCATTTTACTTGGCGGGGCCCGGGTTATTTCTGTTTTGTTCTGCCAACTCCGAGCCTTCTTGTTTCTCTGAAAGAAGATTAATTGAGGGAATCTTGGAGTCAGGGTAGTGCATCCAACTAACGGGCTTGGGTGGAGGTCGACGGTATCCTCAGCCTGAACATAGCGTATATAAAGCGAAATTACGGATCTTTTTCATAGGCCGCCCTCGTCACGTCATAGCTGAGGGCAACAGTCCCCACCAACATACATTTCGTGCGTACCGTATTCGAAAAATGCGGCGCGCCCGTCCTGCTTGTATTGCACCTCCGTCCCCTGTTTTCGTCTGTTCTTTTAACTCCAAAGATAGTGTTTGGTAAAGGGTTTATGCTGATAGAACGACTTTTGTGCAATAGTCCGCCGCCTATAGGAACCTCCGTGTTCCCAGAAGTTAACCCTCTGAAATGGCTAGAACTCTAACTTTGAAAGGAACTGTTCCGACTAACTACTCGTCTTTGAGTCTTCATAATAAAAGAAAAATGTTTGTAGGGTTTTTGAGAATCTTGGGTCTTTTGCACCAAAATGCCCCCTCTTATTTAAGTAGAACCTTTCTTGCAGGAAGGAGTAGTGAATTTTTTTGGATTTTAGTTATGTTTTGAATCGTATATACTTCCCAACTTTTGGAGGTTGAGCAACTTCATATTCCTCTGTACTCGAGAGAATGCACTATTTTAATTAGTATATCGACATCTTCTCAATAAGAACAAACCAAAAATCACTCGTATCGGAGCCCCTTCGTTCCTCGAGGAAGCTTGTTCTGGTCTGAATTTTTAAAATTAAGCAAGTCAAAAGTGAATTACGAAATCCCCCCCCCACTGTTTTTGAAAGCCTCCAAATGAATGTTGTGTCGTTCTCTGAATAGCATCGAGTGACTCCTTAGCGAGATTTCACACAATAATTTTCATGTAGACATTTGGTTGTTTGCAATCAAAGGGCATAAAATTTTCCTTGTATTTGCACGACTCTTTTCCAAAATGATCTTTTGGACAACAAATCCTCGACCAAATGGTAGGGTCCACAGCAGTGGGTCGATAATGACAATTGCTTGCGCCGAGTTTGACGAATAAATAATTTCCTAAACCATCAAACGAAGCCAAATCAAACACTCCACTGATAAAACCCTATAACAAGAAACTCCCTTCCTCTTCCCTCTCGTATGAAGAAGGGGCGTGCGCGAGTTGTTGAACCTGCCTGCTCATGCCCACTAACCCGCACGTTTTTAAATTACAGTTACGCTCATCGTTAATCTAAGTTGGGATCAATGTGTGTGCCGAGATTCGTCCATAAGTTTCACACTAATTATTCACCACCAAAATCAAATACTTTGTCGCGACACTTTTCGAGTTGCCTGAACACACTCTGGATCGTATATTTTCGCTAGCGCCTCCTATCCCACCTACAGAGCAGATTCTTCGACACACAGCTCACTGGCGTTACTTATACCAACCACCGATATCTACCCCACGTTTCAAATTACCAGGCAGAGATTGGTGTAAGGAACAAGTGATTGCCCACTTACTACAAGTACGATTGGGTGAAAGTTCCTAATCATATATCGCCTGGGCCGTTACAAGTGTTCCATCCCTACGAGATAGCTTAGTAATACCAGACTTGCTTGATAGAGAGAATGAAACGCTGACTTGTACATTGGCCGACCCCTGCAGGTCATTACACAGGTCATATCGCATGCATATACACACATTCCTGAATGTGAGGGAGCATGCGCTGTGGGCATGCCAGAAGTTCTGACACGACAAACTTTGATTATTTCATTCAATTAAAGATATATTTACATTTTTACATCATTTAAGATGTATTTTCAGATTTAGGCCACAGCGTTGTGAATTCACAGGCTCATCGATTTTAGCGACAATTTAGAAGCCCTAATGGCATTAAGATATTTTTCTGCTGTAAACTCAATACTAGCTCGAGGCATGGTTTTGCATAGCGCAGCTTCGTAGCTCTCAATCAATAGCTAAGTTTCCGCTCATTCCTACATAGAAGGTCCATAGAATTTTCGACAGCGTTCGATATATCGATATTTAAACTCGTCCACCTGAGCTACCTTCAGATTTTATCTCATAAGAATAAAGTAGCGAAAACTGGGTGCATTAGCCTTCATTTTGTTACGGATATGTACTATTTGGCATAATTTGGCTAAATTCCAATCTTACGTGTTTACTTGTGTTTGCACACTCAAAAATAGGAAGTCGATCGCTGATGATTTCAACTGCTTTGCTTGTTTTTCGCAGGGTATTCTATAACGTATTTATCACCTGATGTTTAGTACAGGCGTCCTGACTTTTCTCTCTCGCAAGTCATTCGCAATACATCTACATGCACAGTTTCAGCGCCGCGTTGCATCCACAACTCCGCTTGTTCACCATGATTACATCGCCATCACGTCGGGTCGAATCGTGGCTAAACCGTTGAATCAAACTAAAACAGATAACAAGTTTCCGGCTTTGGTTAGAAATTCAACTCCTGCAACAAATTCATACTCTTTCATCAAAGAATTGATACTGTAGCTCGTCTGAGTGTTGAGGCTTACTTTCGCGTCCCGTAGCTGCACTTACATGAGCATCTCCCTTACCCTGTCCTGTCTTCACACAATGAGTCACTGTGAAACCATAACATAGATAAAAGAAGGCACCCAATCATAGATGAATGTGTCTCCACGAATTTTCTATAATTATATCGGGTGAGGACATTCTTGTGTCACAAACTACCACCATTCTCCCCTGAATTTCTCGATTTAACCCTTTCGGCCCTGGCGGTGGCAATTGCCACCACCAAATTCAAACGCTTGCATTGCCGCTGAAACAGCATGGTTTTTCTAATCCTGCTAGAGGTTGCTTCAGTCAACCTTCCCCTTCCTAATTATGAGCTAAACCTGCCATTTCATTGTGCGTTGCTCTATTACAAGTATTTGTGTACAAGTGCAACAATGAATCGACGCTGGTCCCCGCAACCGGCCCAAGTATGTGTGACTTTTTCTTAAAATACTTAAAATAGATCCATCCCCACAATCAAAATTAGGTCATAATGTATTCAAGATATCGAACTTCGCATAACTCATAAATATTTAAATTGTTTCGCATTAGCCTTAAAAAGTTAAGAAGCCAATTTTCAAAGCTTCTTAGTTTCTTTGTTTGTGATCGAATAGCTTCCAAATTTCGCCATAATGATACCTATATGCTCACAAGTAATAAACAATAGCTAGAAGAAAAATTTCTCCACGGGGAAAAATTCAGGTCCGAAAGGGTTAATTTTGTATCACTTCTCGAATTTTTGCCTGGGTAAAAAAAACTAAAAACGTGCGCTGACTTGTCACGGACTGGAGACCACTCGCAGTTCATTTTTATGGGTCAAATCGCATTCACAACTCCCGCCCCGCCACACGATGCCACAATGGAATTAGAGGTGCTGCCCATCCAGCCAAGGGATTGAACACGGCCAAAGGCTACTTTTTTTCAAAAATAATTTTCTAAGGTGTTTTATAACTCCTTACCATTCCCATGAAACAGTGCCAAAGGTGATGACGTCCGCGCTCAGTCGTTGCCCACCCCAGCTAGTTAGTCGCGCAACAACGGACTAAGTATTTTCCAACCGCATTGGCAGTGCTTCTCTTCTTTTGCTCTCTTATATTCAGGCTTGCACCTTCCTCCCAAACTCCGCCCGTCAGCACCCTCTTAGTAATTCATTCCAAGCAAATTTTTTCTCGAACGTCTGTTCTTGGCTGCAAACTTTAATCTTATTCACTGTTATCTCTTTCAGAAACCCTACAAGTCAGACGGCTCTGGAGAAACTTTTCTCTGGCGAATTAGCTTTGTACGGCCCATTAGTCAAGAGCCACATTATGTATCTCAACTTCGTCCAGTTTTTCACCGGTACATTCTTCCAGATAACTGTCGAGACTGGTCTCCACAACGCCCATGTCGCACTGAGCAGATAAGTCAAGGCCCGGCGCCGACTATCACTGCCGGCAACAGTTGTCGTCGAAAGCGCGAAAGCAGTCGAAAGAACTTATCGACATACTCTCTTATCCCTTTCTGAAACAGGTGAACGGTCATTTGCGTTAATCACCCCATATTCTTCCACGTTGGCATTCTTTCCTTCTCTTTATTCTTTTATGCTGTTTCCCTACTGAATGTACGTTTGCATCAGGTGCAACACCCTAATAATTCTGTCATCGCATCCAGTTGCTGCGACTCACTAACACCATTTTTTTATGTACGATAATATCGCCGCGACAAATCATTTCTGAAGGCTTGGTCAACTATTAACAAGTTTTCTGACAGGATTTTCGCCAATGTTATATTTCTCAATGATATTCTGTTTTTTTTTTATTTTGCTTTCCTATATTGTGAAGCGTCTGGTTACTGCAGTTATGACTGGTTTGCTTTTGCTTCAGATGGACGCAAAACTACCAGGATATGTTCGAGAAGGTGACATAGAATATCCGTTTGAAGAGACTAATGGGGTGGGTGATGAACTCTGTATTCGCGGCAATTGGAGCACAAAAACGGACTACATGTTGGCGGCCGTAGGATTCACTTTTGGGATAGGTATGCTTATCCTTGCGTGGACCTGAGATTTCTTGAATACCGTGGTTTGTAACTTCGGTATTCTAGAAATTGACTACTGTTTATTCACAGAGATGAAGTTGTTTGTTGTGCTAAAAAATTATATTCAGGAAACCTTTGGCGATTTCCATTCCTAATTTTTCAACACGGCGGTGTGGCGTTTTTTATTCCATACTTGATAGTTCTTGTAGTCGCTGCACTGCCTATGTTTTTTATGGAGATGGTCCTAGGGCAATTCTCTTCGTTCGGCTGCAAATTTCTGTTGGACACCGCTATTCCGCTATCTCCACAGGTACCCTCTTCCTACAAAAAGGCATATGGAACGTAGTTCCGCTATTCAAAGGTACCTCTCCTACAAAAGCATCATTGGAGTTCAAGTTACAACTTTCAATTGTTCGCTTTTTCTCGTAATAAGTATGCAATTTAAGAAGGCTTATTTTTTATAGGTGTTGGCGTAGCTATGGTGCTGATATCGTGCATAATAGCGATTTACTTGAACATCGTTTCCGCATGGTCTCTGTTCTACTTTATTAATTCTATTAGTTTCTCGTTACCGTGGTCGAACTGTGAGAACTCCTGGAGTGGATTGAGTAAGCTTTTTTTGAATTAATGATTTTATTGTTCAGATTAGAGTGACCGATGGCATTTCTTGTTTCGAAAATAAGTCTACATTTAGCCTCTTTTCCAATTCTTAATAGCAGTGCCTTAATTATTAGTTGAGTAGTTACATTGTTCCGGTCTCTATCGTTTGGAAACAAATATACTTCGTTTCTCTGCTTCCTGTTTGACCGTCAATGATGCAATAGGAGCTTCAACATAGGCTGGTTTTTGCATTGACCCATCAAATGGTACTTGATTAAACAAGACACGAGAAAACCTCTAATCCAACTCTTGCTCGACCCAGTTTACATACCTCTCCCGAATGATCATCGATATGCGTTATAATTCTGGAGAGAATCCAAGTACTAGGGCTACTAGAATACATTGTTGGTATTATATCGACCTAAAGGGTTGACTAAAGTGGTAACATAGCATTGTTTGTGTTTCATCTTCTCTGTAAGTTTAGACTGCTCTCTTGGCACACGTATCTCTTGCACCGAAGCGAATGGTACCCTTCTCCTCAATGGTTCATGTATCATACAGGTCAGCGGTTTTCGAGTTACCTTCGAATTTCTTCTCTCAGTGCTCTAGAATCTGCAGTAGACCAAACGTTCTCTGAGAATACATCTCACTTTTTCCTGAATTTTCTCTGCGTGAACATTTCCATCCATATCTATGGTAGTCTGGTAGATAGAATCATAGTAATTCGTATTGGCTGTCGCAGAAAAGCGTGGTACGATTCTCTCTCCCCCCCCCCGTCTTCTTCCCTTTCTCTTCCCACATTTTCAGCTTCGTTCATTTATTCAACGTTACCTGCTTCTCCTCCCTGCACTTCTTTCATTTTCGCGAAAGTTATTCGACAGCTTGATTATTAACAATTCAACAACAGGCTGTTCAACTCCGACAACGAGAACTTTGTAGAATTTCTGAACCTCTCTGGGATTTCTATCTACAACTGCCTTCTTTTAAACTCATTCTCCAAAGCAGGCATGTCTGGTTGAAATCTTCCTCCCAGCAAGTCAAATAGACCTTAATCGGGAATCCTCGACGGTCATATGATCTTGCAGCCGCGTCCGACGACAGTTTTGATTTCTGGTGACAATTTTCGATTCCTTGTTCACAGTTCCATTCTTTGCCTGATATAGAATTATGCTTCTTCTTATTCAGCCCAGTGCATTGCATTACAGTGCATTCCTAGAAACGCCGTATAGCGCTAACACGAAGATTCTCCATTTAATGCCGAATTTCATTTCAGTATGCTAATACAACTGTGGTAATATCAGGTACCAATCCACAGTCTATACCTAGTCTTCGATACTTTCAGTAAGTTTCAGAAGTTCATCCTTACTCCGTCCTGCCTGCCAAATAGCTAACTATTCGCTGATTATCAGGAGTTTCAGTGAAGACGTTTTGATGTTGTCGACAGGATTCACCGAAATTGGCGCTCTTAACTGGCACCTAGGGATATGTGTGGTGCTGTCGTGGGTAGCTGTGTTTCTCTGCCTTTTTCAAGGCGTGAAGTCAAGCGGAAAGGTGAAGCATTTTTCTGAATTAAGTTTTTTTTGTTACCACGACATGTCAAATAATATCAATTTAGGTTGTTTATGTAGTGGTAGTTCTGCCGTTCATAATAATGATCGTATTACTCGCCCGATTGTTGACCCTTGAAGGATCATTTGCTGCTCTCACGCACTTTCTCCGTCCTGATTGGAGAGTGCTCAAAGACCTTACGGTACAGTGTTCTCTGATTCTTTAAGCCGCGTTCATGCTTTGCGACTGCTTTGCAGTGAGGAGTTGTTATGTATCGACCATGCGATCCTGCGGTCTAGAGTCATGTGGTTTGAAGATGGCATATACTTCAATGCATGTAGTACGGGTCACCAGTTGGTTAGACTGGAATCAGAGTCCGCCATCCGCCAGGCGACTCGCACGATTCGCGCGAATTGTAAGAGTCACAAGTACCCCTGAACATTTGAAACACTGAATATGAAACAAGTAGAATCATGAACAGTCGTCATTCAGCCATCACTATCAAGCAGAATGGCGGCGGGATTGGAGAGCACCTGCAGTATTGATCGGGCACTTGTGATTTCTGTGATCCGTCGCGCAAATCGCGCGGCGGATCGCGGACTCTGACACCAGCCTTATTCAGTCATTACTTTTGTTCACTCATTTATCTTTTTCGGTCCATCAGCTCATCTGTTTCGTTGAGTTTCTTATCATATTTCTTCATCTCGAGTGTGTCCTATAGGGACCCTTTGTAGCGCTTCCTTTGCGGATACGTATGATAATGTTGGGAAAATTGATGGGAATGAGTTCCCCAAATGCGAATCACAGCCCACACCACGCGCTTTGGGGCTTATGCTACCTTGAGATTCCAAAATCACTAGATCGCAAACCATGACCGCGGTTTTAGATTTACTTTCCAAAAGTTTAACGCTGAATTTTAGGTGTGGGGTGAAGCTGCTGTGCATGCCTTTTATTCGGTTGCTTGTTGTACTGGAGGTCTATACACGACTTCAAGCTATAACCGATTTCACAATAATCTTTTCAAGTGAGATGTTTTGACAGTTCAAATATCAACTGCATTTTAGAGTTGTTCGTCTTCTTTCATTGCCTTTATCCACTTTTTTCTGCAGAGATCTATGGATAATTCTCACGGTTGATGTTATAACGTCAATAATTTGTTGTGTACTGACATTCTCTGCCATCGGGTTTACATGCTTTGAGTTTTCAATTTCGCTGGAAAAGTTCCATATACGAGGTGGGTTTCAGTTGTATTTGGTTTTATTCTTTTACTTCATCACGTTTATTACTGCTCAGCTTCTTTACCGCGAATACGGTACAAATCAGGCATTTTGATTCCCTCTTCCCTCTTAGAATCGGAGCCAGTTTCAACGTCTGTAACCCAAGTTTCCTCAATTTTGGAGAAGCTCTGTGACGTTTAAAACGTACTGTCCCTAAAGCTGCTCTGTAGTGCGTATTTATGTCGACAGATGTTGCGTTGGATCGTTCCTTTGTTGGAGAGTATCTAAGTGCTACTTGGATTCGGTTCTTTGAACCACCTCTTTGCATGTTCCAGCCTGCGCTTTCTCGACTATACAGCAGCTCGTGACTGCTGTGATCTCGCCCACTAAAATTTTGCCACATTTTACCGTCCATATCTAGAGGTCTGATTGGGCGGTCACCGGAAATGACGTGGCAGCCACCACACTTGATAGACGTCCTGTGGATAATGTTTTCTTACATGCTTCGCTGAATATCAGCAAAGCAAGCTGGAAACAGCTTGTTCGCGCAACTTCTGTCAAGTGCCGTGACCGTCACGAAATTTTCGGTGACACGCCCAATCAGACTTCGAGATATGGACTGTATTGGCTCACCCACCTCAGAGTCCTTCCCTCTCCAAAGCTTAGCCTCAGGATTTCACGCTTTTCCTTAATGATCGCATAGCCGAGCTAGGCGCATTCTATCAATCGTCTTTGTGCCTAGCCGTTCGTAGTAGAACATGGAAGAATGTTAAGTAGTCCGTCAACCGGGTGTGGAAACGAAAACTGCGGCAACGCATTAGGTTACCGCGTGGGCATTTGTCAGTATCAGGTTTTGTTTGCTTGCACAGTATGGTGTCAACCACTCTCCACGTCAAAATAAGTTAACGACGTTCGTGCGTAGTGAAAGTTGAGAATCACAATTACCACTGCACCGCCGCCGTCTTTATTTCCTGACACACCCCTCGGTATGCCCATTGCAAAGTTGTGAAAGGGATTATTTATGCTCAATTTGAAAACATTCTCATAATACCCTCTCCTCACCTACACTGATTCATGCAGAGTCAACCCTGCGTTGCGCAGTTCGCAACGGCACGTTGAGAGATCCTCAACGCACGCTGTATGGGCGGAGACACAGACGGCTCGAGCATGCGAGTGTGAATGTTCGCGCGAGAGAACGTGTCTAATCGGGCGAAACTGCGCAACGTGGCCGTTGAGAACTGCGCAACGCAGGGTTGACTCTATCCCGAGTCTTGTTCCCTGTTTTTCCTCATATCGATCTATCAAATTCAGATGGAGCCCACCTTGTTTTCGTATTTTTGGCGGAGGCTTTAGCTGGTGTTCCAGTAGCGCCTCTATACACCGCGTTTTGTCTCTTTCTTGATGGTGGTGCGATTATCCATCGACGGCAGTTGTTTTAGTAGTTTTGTTGTTTGTTGTAGGTTTTCCAACTACTCAATTAATTTCTTCTCCCAAGCTGAAAGTTGTTTGTTCAAATTCCATTTACCCTGTGCCTTTATTAGTGGTACTTTTCTTGATCGAGTTGTAGCACTAGCCACAGCTAATTGACAGAAATAGTAGAATTAAAGGGATCGATCTACAGCCAAAAGCCCTACAATATGTATACTGATATCAGTCTTTGAAGTTGCTTAATTTAGGTAGAAACGATCGTTACATCTCTGTGCGATGAGTTTCCAGAACGTCTACGGCGTAATAGGCGTCACGTTCTAACGACCGTATGTGCGGCTTTCATGGTGGTCAGCATACCATTTTGTTTATCGGTGAGTATCAGTGACAGTGTAGTTTCTCGCATTCGATAGTTGCATAAGGAGCTTTTTAAGAACTAACTGAGCAGTGAGGAAGATACAGCGTGCGTCTTCTATGGCTATAGATACATCTCCAAGAAGGTAAGTTCAGTGATGGTGAAGACACCGTCTTTGGCGTGCAGGAAACCAAACTAAGTGAGGCCGGTCCACTTGAATTCAATCTCGGTGGCAGGCAGTCAGTAAAGTTCTGATCAAGTTCCGAGAGAATTCGTCTTTTTCCCGGTTGCATACCTTGTAACGAGTACTTATCCTGATACACAACCCCCGATGCCGTACGATTTCGAGAACAGTGTTTGTCGCTAGGTTAGCTAGTCAGCGCTTCACTGTTCTCGTGACCGCGAATTCTAAGATGCACTTATGTGCTCTACAAAGTGCCTAACTTCTGCGCCTCCCCATTATGCGCTTAAAACAACCCCCACTTGTTCCCTCCCTCCCGGTTCAAAACGGCCGCCCACCCAACTACTGGCTTCTGTTCCATGCAGTTCATACGCTCGAACATTCTTCCGTTACGGCAGCTGGGTTTTGCTGTTTGCTGTTCGCGAAATTCACAATTACGTGCCAACTGTGTGTCAAATCTTTTTCCCCAATCTTAATCGCTTCTGGATGCATGGCGAATAACGCTGGAGTTAGTCGAATTTAACCGTTCATTCTCAAATTTCTCGCTCTCGTTTTTATCAGTAGAATCTTTGACCCGTTCATAGTTGATGCAGGTTGATTTTAGTGCTCTGTTTCCTAAATTTTCCTACAAATGATCATCGTTCTTTGTCTGAGATAGATGGTTATTAATGCTGTTTGATGTTTCGTGCGTTTTTGTAAGGTGTACGTTTGACATCTTAAATAAATAAAAAACCGGCTTTACCTGCACATGTTAACATCTTCTGAAGATTCTTTGAATTTGTATGCGCCAATGCTGATTTGGTGAGTTATTAGAAATTTTACCAACCTTTATATGCAGTCGACGTCGCGATTTACGAAGCATTCGAAACAAGTAGGCATTACAGGCTGCAATTACGATAAATTGAAGAAGGGTTTATTGTGACGTGGTGTGCTCAGTGGTATTCCAGTAACGAAAAAAGTAGAAAAACTCGTCAAGAAAACGTAAAGCATGGCTCTCCTTTTTTTGGACCGTTGGTTTTCGCTCCCAATGAATAGGATAAAGCTCGCATAAAGTTGACGTATGGAACGACCTTCACCCGTAACGCCTTTGTTGCCAACCCCGTCAAACCACGCCTCAACTCGAATTGCCTCCCTTGCTGCCGCCCGTAGCGCCACGCAGCTCGTCCAAAGCAACAAGTAAACTACATAGTGGGCGAATTGGTTTTAGGGGCGGAGTGCTTTCGAAGTCCTGCTCAGCAACCTGGGCACATTTGTCATAAAAGTACCACATATCGCTTCCCTGGTAGCCAAGTAACTGATCAGTGTAGTGCACAAACTTTTCGAATGCGTTCTCTCTTTATCGTAATCGCTTCCTTTACGCGCGCGTTTGCTGGTGGAGCTAATTTTACTGGCTGGACTGTTTTGGAATCCATGGTGCGGTTGCATTCTTGTGTTGCCTACCGCGTACTCTGCCATGTGACGCACGAGGCTACAAGAAAGAAATTCGTTTTGTTTACTTTTTTTTGCATTTTTTGATGGCTGGATATGTTTCTGTTCGGAGCTGAAAATTGTCATATAAATTGATGCTGGTAAATTAAACACTAATAATGAGAATAAAATCAAAAAAGGTGGAAATGTACGCACTTAGGTGGTCCACGACGTGTTGAATAATAGTCAAACGCTTTGTAAATTCATACCGTTCTCATCCATGCCAACCACTCCGCGACTCAGCGACTGTTTCTTTTTGACAGGATTTCTTTGCCTTCAACTGCTAGAACGTTTGAATATCTATGATTGTAGGTGTCGAAGTAGTTTGCAGAATCGTAGGGATTTATTGCAAGATTTCTGGTGCGTGCTCCTCAATATTGTCACTAAAGTATAACCTGTGTCGGCGTCGAACCAGAATGAATGAGAGGACGGGTGTGCTGCTGTTTTAGTCTAATTCCTTCAATGTCGTCCCTTTCATTCTTCCATGATTTTATACCAAGTTTCACCCACTTGCGCTCTCACCCCCCACTCCTCTTTGCACATTGTTTGAATCTTCATAGTGGTCCTATTGCTCATGACTCAGTTTCGGGTTTGCACTTTTAGTTTGTACTGCGCGAGCTGCTGAGTTGGAAGCGCTGAAAGAGTGATGCAAGGGCAAGCAGTGTGGCAGGAAGGATCTTTTATGAAGTTGAGCCTGTGAAGGAGTGGCCAAATGTTTCGTTGAAAAAAATATTCGTAACTGGTGAACATTGGCAAGAAACGTCTTCATGGTGTAGACGATATTGAATGGAGGAGTATGGTCTGTCGCAGTCGAGATTCGAAGAGCATCGTTTAGTATGGAGTAAAGATAGTATAGCGTAAAGTAACTGTCATCGGAAACAATGAAGTGATAAAATGGAATTACTAAATATTATGTGAGGTTTCAGGGTAATATTTTTAACAATTTTCTGAAGAATTGGTACTTGGTGCTTTTTGTCGCTTCAAGGATGCACCACCGATTTCTTTCAATGTTATAGAAATGTTTCTGAGATGTTAACACTGGGGCAGAGACGGCTGAAGGGGTGAACAAAAATTTCAACTTCAGCATTTCTTTCTTCTCTGCAGAGGTTGCCCGATTTTCGGGTGATTGTCTCATCTATTATACCACCACATGTAGTTAGCATGGTATCGCTATATGATTATGCTTTTATCCGATCTTTAGAATCTCCATCACAAATAGCACTATTTGATCTTATCTCGTGATTTATCAGAAGCGCTAATACTTCGAAATCCACGAGTCCTGTCAACAATTAAGACACGAAAACAAAAAGTGTGGTGCACTGTAGCGGAAGTAGGGCAATGACGGCAGGGCGACAGCCGGGCACAGTGTAGCGTGTGAAGTGACGCATGACTGATAACACTACGCAGTGTTCTAAAATCGATGGAACTGCAGATTGAAGTCTCAAAGCAAAGTTGGCATTTTCTGGCCGACCCGGCATTTCTTTACCCACTTTTTTATGGAGTTTTTTTTATATTGTAGTTGAAAAATATTAGTGAGCGGCGTCATTGAATTTTCCCGAGATGTTCTTTGCAGGCAGCTAACATCTGTGGTCGTGGGGAATCTTGTGTGTTGGGCCCAAGATTAAGTGCTGGCAGTCTATGTATGAGTCCGTGTTCTTAATGTTTCTATGGTCGTAGGAAGGGGAGGGGGAAAGGCAGGGGAGGGTAGGGGGGAACTATTTATTACGGAAATAGTGTTCAGTCTTTCTAGACCGGATTTTTCCGCGAATCATTTGCGTTGGAGCAGCGCTCTCTTGACAGTGGTTGCCTCCTCCCTCCACCTCAACTCCCAAATGAACATCTGTTAATACCAATGTCTATATTCGATCGTTGATCGTCAAATGAATAGATTAAGTTTCTGTATCTAAGGATAGAGCAGCGGTTTTGCTAAGCGCTTAGAGGTGATATATCTACAAAGTGCTCGAACCCTTATTTAATTTCAATTATTTCATCTTGTTGTGCAGATTATGGATCATCATCTAGGAATCCAACCATCTAGGAATCCAATAGCACATCTCATGAAGCCTTTCTTATTGAAAGTGCCCTACTTGACCCGGGGCGGTATTCTATTCTTCCCCAGGCTAGAGGAAGAAAAATCCCCTCGAATTTTATTTGTCTTTCCAACCAGCCAACCAGAATCGCCCTTAGAAGGGTTCTACTTGAAATGTATGTATGTGTGTAAAGGTAACCATTTACTGAGAGTAACAAAGCTGTGTCTTGAAAAGCGATAAGTTTGAAGAGGCCTCGTCTTTTCTCTAGCCTGAGGGAAGGATAGTGTACGGCCCCTGGTTTCCTTCCTTCATCAAGTCCAGCATCAAAATGAATGAATAGTAAATAGTAGTTTCTTTTGATCAACGACATTTCTTTCTTTTGCAGGGTAAAATGTTCTCGTGAGAAAGAAGTGCTGTGGTATTTTTTATTGGGTGTTTGTTATTCTACGTTACGATTATGAATAATATGACAAAAAAATTCAGATAACAAAAAATCTCAGAGGCAATCGTTTTTTTTTTTGAGAGGCTAAAGCAAAGTAAAGCAGCTGCATGAAAATCGTTGAACATCTGCAATAGGTCATGTTCATGGCTGTAAATACTCGTTAATAAAATTTGAATGTCAGACAAATTTCAAGGGTACAACTAAAGATCGCCAACCGCTTTATCTCTACCTTTCATGCAGGTGAACTACAGTTTAGCCTCTTCTTATTGATTCCCGAAGCGCACTTCAAATAGTCGGAAACCAGACGTTTATTTTGCTCTCTTTTCTCGTGTCGCAGTTGAAAACATTCCCAGCCGCTGGTAGACGTCACAGTTAGTGGCATCACTTCGTGTTTTCATGGTGGCTTCATTTTTGACAGTGAATGAAAACAAGTAAATCGGTACTTCATTCAACAAATGTATCTGTTTCGTTGTTGTGAGCCATCAGTTCTCTGGATGACATTTTCTCTAGTTGCTCTACCGTTTTTTTTTCGCATAGGAATATCAGTGCATGAATTCAAAAAAACTGTTAACAAGTTCACAAGTTTATTTTCCCTCAACTGGCTTGTTAGCTGATTGTTGTTTATTTATTTCTGATTAGAGCTGAGTATGTGTTGAACGTTGACAGGGGTCAGATCTGGATAAGTGATTCATTTGTGATCAA